AAGATAGAGGCTAGCTAGCCAAGATATGTTTTAAAGCAGTATTTTATGCGTCTTCTCCTGAGCTCCTTCCCAATTCTACGGGTTTTTTTATATCACTCTTCCCCAAAATATCCACCTCAGAGGGTTAATACAAGGTGGAAGAACTATGTGCATCCCAAAGCAATGAAATTTTCCTGTTACTCTTTCTTCATCAACTCACCGTGTCAAAAAACAAAAACAAAACCAAAAAACTTCCAACCCTACCAAAAACAGTAACTCCCCCCACCTGCCTTGAATTATGACAAGGTTAAAAACAAGAATGTATTTTCTTTCTACTAAAATGTTCCTAAGGAAAGTTATTCCACAATGTTTTGGAAAAAGGAGTTATCATAAATCAACACTGATATATATTGTTCCAGGTCTGTAAACACTGACCCAGCCTCAAGCAGATTTATCTAAAACAAATCTCAGAAGAACTACAACACTGACATGTATTTTTACTGCAGTCTGTTAGAAGACTGACAGAAGGGCAATGTGTCACAATGCTGGATGACCAATAACCTTTAATAACTTGAAAATAAGCTACAAAGGATTATTTCCTACACAGCCATGGGAAAGGAGGACCTTAGAAAGTAATCTGGGGACAATCAGGTAATATCAAATGAAAGGAATTGAAAAAGCCTTCTACAAAGACCAGGTCGAGTAAGAAGAGGTCAGGAGAGTCTAATGAGGCAGTCTGGAGTCTTCTGTGACTGTGGAGGCACAGCACAGTGTGAGAGGGAGAGAAGCTGATGAAGTTCCTAACTGCCAAAGTGATTAATGAGTAAGTTAATTGTGGCAGCAACATTTTTAAAAGATTCGAGAGAAACACCTATCGTATTTGAAACAAAAGGGATTACAGAAATGAAGATTTGAAAGGGTAAAGGCCTGGATAAAAATATAATCTACCCTCCAAATCTACAGAGCTTTCATCTTCTACAATTGGACAAAAATATTTTATTACAACTTAAGTTTTAGGCCAAATCACTTGAGTATTTAGTTTTAATTCCTAGAAAGTACACGCCTTTCCAAAAAGGAATAAAAATGTTTCAAATCACTATAAAAATAGTCAATAATACATGAAGCAACACTACATGACAGTACCCATTAAGGTCTTTCCAACATCAGCCATCGACCACAGTAAAGTTTGAAAGAATGCACTACCTACCCTCTTTGAAACAAATCCACATTGAAGAATTTGTGGAGCTCCACGGAGAATTCTACCATAGCCTGAACTTCACTCATGTTTATGAGGATGAAGAAGTCAAAACTTGTCAGCACCTTAGTTACTGAAAACAAACAGAAAAGAAACTTTTTAGAACACAAGCTGGGGATAATGTCTATCCAGCCCTTAAAAAGGACAATGCTACACACAATTTTGCACAGTCTCCCTAAACACACAGGCCCTGGGTTAAAGAAGAATACAGGATGTACTCAGTCCCGCCCACAATAACTTCTATCTTTGTTGTGAAGGAATCAAATGTTATCAGAGAAGTATCACAACACACCATCAGCATAATACAATCCTGGCACTCAGCGATACCTACGTACTGCAGCTCTGCTCTGGTACTTGGTCGGAGAGGGAAAAACACTGCCGACAAGGAGAAACAGAGCATGGTCTGCTTCCAGCCCTTGTTGAAGCAGAATGACTGTGCAGGCAGCAGTGCCTCACCTCTGACTCGAGTACAGGGACCGCCGAATCACAGTGTGGCCAAACAGTGCAGAGAAAGTGCTTAACGAGGTCATGTAGGGCTTTAGATGGAGAGATTCTAGAGGGAAGGCAGGAGTTAAGGACACCAAGATGCTCATTTTTAAGTCAATCTTTGTTAGCAGTGAAGTGTTAATTCTGTCTTTTTTGCAGCCACAGACTGGCACCTTCCTGCTCATTTACAACTGCCTGCTGATACTTAAATTAAAATCCAACAGACTTTACTGAGTTCTGCTGGTTTTCCTTCAACAATATCAAGTAGATTAATAAAATAGACTGCACTTTCTGCAAACACTTGGCTTCCAACTTCCCAGTTCCTGTAGGCACTGTCTGGTTTGAGGAATAAGCAAAACAAAAAACCTAAACCAGACTATCCTTCATGCATATTAGTCCCTCTTCCGGTTCTAATGCAGAAGCAGTGAACATAAAAAAAAGCTAGCCTGGCTGGTGCTTGAATGGATTATGGGTTTTTTTCGGTTTCTAGAACTTTTAACATGCATTTGGACATTTGTGAAGCAGCAGGCAGTACTACTGAGACCGAAACAGAGTAGCTGGCAAAAAAAGTCATCGCCACAGCAGGTATGAGTCACCTGAAAGCAAAGTTACCTTCAGGGGTTACCTCTAGCCTACCAACTAAATTATCTTGGCATATGACTTAAGATAAGATTTACCTTTCTGTACTCACTCTAGAGGAGCTGGAGGGCTTCAAGAACCATAGCACAGGTCTAGGTTTTTAACTATAAACAAGAAGTTAATTCTGACCTTGGTTTAACAGCCAATACAAGGACTCTGCATGCACTTTACAAAAACACAGAAACAGTACGTTACTGAAGTAACAGGGGACAGGGTAAGGGGAATTTTGTTTCTGGAGCTGAGTTATGACAATACGAAGAACTCAGATCAAGGGCCCTTACTGCAAGATCAAAACTACAGCATATACTTGACACTATTAACCCAGTTTGTCTGAAAATCCTGTGATCGTCCTAATTTCAATCAAGGGATTTCAACAGATTAATTGAATGATGTCGCAAGTTTTGCTACAGTATGCAGCATTAGGACTATCACTGATAACCTACAGGGCTTTGCAACAATTCCCTCTTCCACTGCTTTGTCTGTAGGACTGCGCAGGGATGTCCTCAGTGGTCTTTAAAACTAGAATCAAGAAGTTCTGCACTCGAATTCTCTGGGGTTGCCACACTACATTATCACACGCGCATCACCTATCAAAATGCAAGCGTATCTTCTGCAAATGGAGCCTGACCTGCCACTGAGCAGAGATCCATAGATCCTAGAGCCACCGTTACCCTTGGCTGCTGGGCAACAACCCTTGTGGGCTATGCACAAAACCTATGATCAAACTGTCCCAACACCTCCAAAAGGAGCCCACTTTAAAACACTCAGGAAAAACTGAAAGGACTTGGACAAAGGATGCCATGGAGCAGACTCACCCAGCTTGCACTTTCATCAAAGTACATTTTCAAGGGAGGAAGACATCACATGCCTCTGACTCCCCAGCACAATAACTGGCACTGTCTATATCCCTGAACAGTTCGCCTCCACTAAGAGACTGGAAAACTGTTCCTGCAGGAGCTGTTGGGCCAAGCAGTCACTCCCAAATGCTTCAGGGTCCCTCAAGTCCCCAGTAGGAAAATTCAGAACAATCCAGAACTAGTCCAATTAGACAAATTCAAAGGTCCATTTTATGAATGAGCCAATTCATCAAAAAAAAAAATCTAGGAGAGCCACATCTTGCATTACTGCCAAAAGGGCTGTCCAGTGAACTTGTGGTATTTCTATTGTGTCTAACAAGGCTCTAGCTGGGGCCACTCCCTCCCTCCTCTGTTGAGCTGACTTAGCAGCCCACTAAAAATCGCCTAGGCAGGCAATCCCTACAGACGAAACACAGGGTCCAGCAAACACTGGCCTGCATGACACACCACCACCACGCCTTTTAATCCAATAACACAGCCCTTGCTCAACCACCAACAGTATCTGGAAAAGTGGCATCCATGCCTTGCTCCAGTATCAACTGCAAAACCAGTAAGAAGTATTTAGCCACACTTCGCAAAACGGTGCATCCACACAATGCTGCAGGCCATCGCAAGCACCCAGGATTGCAGTCTATCAGCTGAATTTTGAGAATGGCTTTTTCTTTGCCAAGCATCAGCATGTTCCATGTGCACCTTAACCTGGGTGACGGGGAGCACTGACTGCCCTGGGCTGACGTAAACCAAATCACTACTTTTCTGTCAAAGTCTTTCATATCAGTGCAAAGGAAAATAGTGTTCTTTGAACTATATACAAAAAACTGTTATGCAGTGATTAAATATTTTAAAGGAGAAACTCAAACTTCGGCAATGTCTTTAATTTTTGTACGCTAATCACACAAAAGCCAACCAATAAAGTTAAACTCATGTAGAAGTATTTATTTGTATAGATTCTATTAAAAATTACAGCTAAACTTCACTAACTTCAATGATATTAAATGTCCACAACTCATTTTAATACTTAATGAGTTTATTGTTGTATTTTAAAGCATATCAATAGCATTTTTTTGTTCTGTCTGCCTGTAAGAAGCAGAAGAATCCTTCAGTAGGAGCTCTCTACATAAGAGCAACAGAGGCTAATGCAGCATACAAACATGTAACAGAAGATGTGATAATAAATGAGAAGAATACCCTAACACACAGGTTAGAACGGAGGGTTCGTTAACTTTTGGTAGCTACTTAACAATTACAATCAAAATAGCATTTCAATGTTAAAAATATTTAAACACTGAGACTGAACATATCCAAGAGTTAAAATGTCAGTTAAAGCTACTTGAACCTATACTGAGGGCCAAAACTTTACTTTCCTTCACACTTCTGGAGATTTATTTATTTTCTTAAGTTGGAAAATCTCCTACATATCCTGGCCAGTCCGTACTGTCCCCACACTAGCTCACCACTTCTTTGGTTACCCAAACTAGTCTTTTCTGAGGCCACAATACAGAATGGATCACAGGTTATCAGATTTTAAAAGACTATCAGAAGGAAAAAATGTTTCTTGATTCTGGTTTTTTTCTAAATTGATCATTTTAGTGATAGTTTACAGCAGCTGCATCAGAGCACCTGAGAGTGCAATGAAAAGACAGATGGAGTACAGAAACCTCCTAAGCCAGCTTTCTCCTCAGAGAAATGCTTGTGTAACAGTGCCATTAATCTAGCTACTTGTACTGGGAACCGCAAGACAATGCTAACAAAGAAAACCGCAGTACGTTCAAAGAATGTCTTACCTCCACTGGTAAATACTCCATTTTAGTATGTTAATTAACCAGTCTTCCAGTTCTTCGCTATTGCTGTCAAAAACATACTGCTTGAACTAAAAAACAAACAAAAAAAAGTTTTACTAAGAGCAATATATCTCGAACTTTTCAGTACTCATGTTCTCCATTCCTTTTTCCTACGTTCTAATAACAGCCCCTCTCATGTCCTCTCCAACAATCACACATGTACCACGTACCAGCATACTCCAATTCGCCCTTGGTTCCCGCACTGCAGTTGTCGGCTTTCTGCAAGTGTAGCAGTCTGATACCTATCTTTCCATAATAAAGTAAAAAAATCAAACTTCTCCTGAAGCCTACACTCTGGTAAAGCCGACACTGCCATGTTCAGCCAAACTATCCCCGTCTTCACCAAGGAACTCTAAAACCCAGCTCCCAGAGGACTCCGGTACGCCCCCAGCCATCCCAGTCTCTCAGCTCACTAGCAGCAATACGCAACGAGGAGGTAGGAGGATATTCCAGCCTGAGTCATCAAATACAGCTCATGTCCCGACACAGTCCTACATAGCTACAAGAGAGCAGACAACTTACAAGAACAGGTCAGATTAAATTCTCATGTCCCTTCTCCTCAGGGGACAAAATTCAGGGGACAAGGGGGAGAGCCCTAGACCAAGAATCCACTTTCTTACAGCAAACGTTACAGGTAGATCAACGCTACCTAAGATTCTGAAACTGTCCTTGAAGTTCATGCTAAACCACTACCTTACACCTGTTTAAGAACCAGTCTATTTCCCCTGTATTCTTAAACCATCAGAGTATTAAAAAAATCACCCTAAAAATTAACCAAAGTCTCCTTTTTATCTGAGGACCTTTACATTTCAGACATAAATGAAAGCGAATGCTTAGTTACTCCTTCTTAGAGGAACTTTGCGTCCTTTCTGTATGTGTGTTTCAGAGAAATACAAATACAGAATCTATCACAGTTTGTGCAGGCAAGCAGTGAAACTCAACTGGTTTTGCCTTAGCTTCAGAGAGAAGAAAACAGAGAAAGGGGAGCATAAAAAACCCCATTATCTGGAATTTTTAAAAATAGAAATCACTTGTGCATGTCATGTGTGATATTACATTTTTTATACCACAAATTACCAAGAATGCCTCGGTAAAATCTTCTTACCATAATGCCGCATCAAAATGGCACTGACATTTATTCCATTTGTTTCACAATGCAATACAGCCCATGTCATACCAGTTCTCTTTTAAAAAGGACTAAGTTCTTTTTTAAAAGAGAGAGAGAGAACACACACAAAATTCTGAGTAGTTGAACTGGCTCTAGCCTTAGATCTAATATTTTATATTCAGCGGAAGTCAAAAGCAAAAAACAGAATCCTACAAATGAAAATACAAAATGTTTATTTTCCTCCAGTTTTCTTCTAGTTGCTCATTTAACACAGTCTTCAGATAACTTTTTTCTTCTAAGTTGCTGTAGGAGCTTTGTACACCTCCATGCCTGACCTTTTCTTCCCCATCCTCTTCTCCTTTATCCTGAGAGATCCAGCACCTGCCAACACAAATTCAGCCACCATCTATCTCCATGCCAATGACTCACAGGTTGTTCCCCCCACCTGAGAACTGTCTTCAATTCCAATTTTAGCTCTTTCTTGGACACAGTCTTCAGCTGAAACTCAATGTGACAAAAACAAGAGTTCTTGACCTGACCTGCAAGGCTATTCCTTATACCTACTTTCCGAGCGTGCACAATAACACAATGTGACTGTAAACCTAGACAGTATTTTTCATCTAGTTTTCTCTGGGTTCTCAGACTTTGGCAAGACTATGCACAAGACCTGCCAAATTTTTCTGCATGTGATTAGAAATATGTCCCATCTATCCTACAGCCAAAACTCACCCAAACTAATATCCTCTTTTGTTTTAATTACCGTGAGGCTGAGAAAGTGTAATTCACTGCATGTATTAGTTCAGCATTGTGCTGCAAAGGACCAGCCTGTTACTTTGATAATTTCACCTCTCTCTCTGCATGCAGAGAGAGCCTGGACTACTGCATCAAGCATAACCCTCTTGTCCTCCTTTGAAATCCTTTCACAGCTGTGCAGCACCCGGTATCACAGTGTTCTGGTTCAAGACTAGAGCTCCTCAGCACTACAAATAAACCCTGGCTCTCTGTAATTAAAAAGGTGAGGGGGTAGAAAAGAAATGCTAATTGAATTTTTGATTGCATCATCATCATGTTGTAAAACATGGAAACAAACAAACAAAACCCTTCAGTGAAGATATCTAGGATACCTTATTCATAATCCCAATTTTGAAAAGGCAACATGACCATCACTCAAAAAATACAACAGAATAGACTGCTTTTTATCAGGATTTATTAATTAATTTTTAAAGCTTCACAGTTATAAATAATTATATGAATGTAAATAACCACAGTTACTTAAATATAGTTAAACAATGACCTAATTTCATGGGCTCAGGGCAAAACTTAACTATTACGATTTTCTTCTTGCCTGGTTCTTTAAGCCTAGGTTACTTCCCAGCCAGTCATTACAAGGTTTGACTCACCATTTCTAACAAAGCTAATGCAAGATATCGATGACATTTTAATGGGCTAGATAAACAATCAGCTTAATCAAGCATTAAAATTCAAATCTTCCTACTTTTTTTCTTTAAGTTTAGCACCAATATCTGGTCCTCTATGCAGCACAGTGATAAAAACAACACACTCACTACTCTGAGCTGACAACTTGATTATTCCCACTGAGCACGGAAGCCATTAATATGTTTCATTTATTTCTTTTCTTCTCCCCTATTAACAGATCATGTATGTGATACAATAATCCATCCTGAACATTTATTAGGCCTATTCCCTTCTACCCTAGCATTGGTCTTTGTCTGTCTGACAAACGACATGTTATTTCTAAGCTTCCTCATTAAAAAGTTTAACATGAAAAGTTCTGTCAGCAGCACAGTTAAAAGCCTGCTCTCCTACTGATGTCTCCTTCTCCCTCCACCACGATAACCCCCTCCCTTTTATCACCCCTTGACTAGGCAAGAGACCGCACATCCCGTGGGTATGAGGAAGCTATATCCACAGCAAGTGGCTAGCTGCTGCAAAATGGACCCCATGCTAGCTGACTGCTGTATTTTTCCTCCCAGTATGGGCACTAACTTCAGTGTCTTCTCTCTTCAGCACCCAATTTACATGAAACAAAAACTTGATCATCTCTGAGATCCCTTCTCCTCTTCCACATTAGGCTGAATTGAGCAATCTTTTCAACAGTAATTTGCGAAGAGGAAACAGAAAATGAGCAAACTAAACTGAATGTTTTATTTGCCTTTTACAAAGACTTTCCCTAAAAAGAAAACCCACATTTTAAAAGTTATGATTAAAAGGGTATGAAATAACTGGCACAAATTTGACTGCCTTTGAGTCAGAACCAGCAAAATGCAGCAGCGGCAGTTCAGGATATGTGTTACCAGATCCAGCCAGCCCTTTGTCCCACTTTGGTCCTGCGTACCAGCCAAGTGAGGAAAAACGAAACAAATACTACTATGCTCTCATGCTAAGAGCTAAGGAGAGTGGACAGTGCAAATCAGCAGTTAAGCTGTCCATTCACCATCAAGCTACCTTAACAACAGTGATGAAAATAAACACCTCTAACTAAAGCAGAAGTAATGTATCTAGAAACACAGCTGTAAATCAATTAATTACTTATTTTGCTTACAATTTTCAACTAATGCAATCAATCTATCTTTTCCTAACAATCTATTCAGAAGAGCAACACAGAGGAAAAGCAAAAATGAAGCGCTTACTTTAAATACTTAATTAAAAGTCTTCTGGAACTTTACATAAAAGTCATATAGTGTACTTGCAGTAAACTAAAAAAAAAAAAAATAAGTTGCAAGCTATAGTATTTTGGCTTAAAGAACAAACTGTATAGCTTAATACATTCACCTTCTCATAATTTCAAGAATTTATGAAGGATGCACCAGGTAAGAATTAATAAAGCAGGAGAGGGAAGCTTACTAAAATGGTTTCATTCTGCCCAACTGAATAGGTTGTTCATAAAATATTCAGGGTCTATTTTAGTGTACTTAAAACATACTTCATTTTCCTACTTATACAATGGAAGAAAGTATTATCTCTTTGAATTCCATGTCCCAAGCAATGCCATTAAATGAAAAATAACTCTCACATGGATGGATGAATTTGGTATTAAAATGGCTGCAAAGACCGTTACCGTGATTACTCTGCAATATTTTATGAATCAGAAGAGTGTCCAAAAGAAAGTTGTTTCAACTTCTCTTCAACCTCAAGCAAACGTTCTGTCAAAAATCAAAGCTTTGATTTCAAGAGAAATGAAAAATAAATCTAACTGTACATGCTCAGTAAATTATTTTTAATAGGTAATAATTCCATATTATTGTCCTCTGTAAATAAAACAGAGCACAATTTAAAAAGTTGAGTCATTGTTCCAATATCTGCTCTGAGGTCATAGTTTGACAAGACAGTAAATACAGTTTAGATTTGACAGCTTGATTTTGTATTGGAAGGCTTTATGCCAAATAGTTACTGTCTTTCCTCCCACAGCAGGCATTAACTCGGTGCAAATTACATATTATGTACTCTTATTAACTTAAGAAATGTGATAGTTTGCCTGCCTGATCAAAGTTACATTAGGAGATAATCTGACAGAAAATCTGATCCAGGATAAGTGGTCACAAAACCACTTCCTCAGTAGTTCCTACACTAATATCATCTGTGGCGACAGGCTGGATGGGCCAATACGGAAAAACAGTGACTCTGCTAGGACCTTCATACAGATAATAAGTTATTTTAGAAACACATGGGAGTACTGTACCAAAGGTTATTTTATTTTTCGACACCTAATGTTAATAACCTAATATACAGTCAGCTAATTTGGCGTTGGCTTTACAGTACTACATCTTTAAAAACATTATCCTTGATTTCACCTTTTTGCTTGTGGTTTGGCTTCCAGTTTCCTACCATTTTAACAAAACAAATCACAACAAGCATTATAGCACATAAATTTAGGTCAAAAGTTTGATTCTTTGATTTTCAATGAAAAAAAAAAGTAAAACCTCTGGAAATATAAAACATTGTTTTCATCCTCTCATAATTTGTCTACTGCCTTTATTCAATACCCACCAGAGAAACATCATAAATTCTTACTTTGTTCTTCCTTTGCTAATGATTCTCTGACCATAGGTCTTCCAAGACCCTCCCTGCAACTCTTCTGTTACAGAAAACATGCATTAATTTTACTGTCAAATCCATACTGTTCTAGTACAAAGTGCAATTTAGTTATGGTTGTATGACACAAGCACAAAGTTGAAGGACAATTAAGC